GATAAATTATTGTAAATGAGCATGACGGGGACACCTGTCGCCCCGTTGCACGGACGAGTGTTCCATTACGCCGAGACTTTTTCGCGGAAAACAGATTCCCCGTGTATTTCGATGTTTCAGACTCGGTCTACGAGATTCGAATCATTCGGGATACGATATTCTTGTGGGAACTTCAAGAAAAATGGAACCCGAAAATTAAAACGAAGGTCGACTGTTTCGGAACGCCAGACTGGAATCCACTTAAGAGCATCCTCTGCAGGTTCGAGTCGTAACAACCGAGTCGTAAGAACCGAGTCGCAGAAAAACGGTCCCAGTTCAACGATGCAAAGTAACGCTATCTGGAGAACAGATTTATACGTCGGAAGATTATGCACTGTACACCTTGTCTTATCTGACTCGAATGTATGCACGGTTATCCTGTCTGCATTAACGTTACTAATTACACGCGAGCGCACGTGCACTTTACATTTTAAGGTCCGCATCACTCTAGGAATCGCGAAATCGAAGCGCAATTAAGCATAATGGATGGCCGGTGCTCGAAGCTAGAACGGCCATTTCCTAGCCGTTTTCTTGCCGGTGGTGTTCGTCTTCCTCGTTCCGTGGTTTTAAACGCGCGTCCACTTTCATGAAATACGAAAGATAAGGGCGACTGTGCTTTATTGCGACACGGCCCGAGCACTTAATCATCTTTGAAACGTTAATTCTGAAACCGTGCCCCGCCTTCGAAACAATAACAATGCTTCCGAATGATATTTTCTCACGCCTACGCGTAGACAAGTGTTTCCGACATGATGGCTGAAATTCGTACTAGTAATATGACATCTTTTCAAATTATGCAGTTTAATATAAAAAAAAGTAACAAGAAATGCTTGTGGCAATCGAGTCTTCGCTTACGTATCCGGCATCTGTTGGCTACGCGATCGATCCGGATAGCTCGCGTCTTGGCACATTTTCTAATTGGACTTTTAACCACATTATTCGAAATACTTCCCTGCGCGCATTGGCAACAAAGACGACGGCAATTGCGATGTAATTATCGAAAAATGCAACGGTCCAAGGGTGGCCACGGTGGCCTGCCTTACGCGGCTACCGCTAATTAACTCTCTCTATCCGAGTAATTGCCCGACACCAGAATGCCATAAAATGACACGGCCAATAACTGAAAGACTATATCAAACGGTCGTTGCGATTCGCGGTACGGTGAGTAAAGGATTCCATAAATGTATGTGTGCGGTGGCGCGGAACAAATGGGAAAATATATCAACGCAATAACGGAGAACAACGAGCATACGCGTCGCGGTTGGCAAGAAATATTGATTTTCACAATGGATAAAAACGACGTCGACACGCCGTGTACCCCGTGGGCCGTTTTCCCGATTGAAATCGGCTCTATCGAGCGAGCGTTGCAACGCTGACGAAAGATGGAATTAGATCGAAAACATCCATTTTTTGTTAACCCTTTGCGAGCGGAACCGAATCCAATTGAATGAACCGGATGCTCGACGTGTTCCATCAATTAACGTCGGTAGATTTATTGTTAAAGTAAAATCTTTTCTATTTTCCTCTGGAAGACCACTGTTCGAATATTTACTGCGTCAATACATTCGCATAACTTTCCATAATAGAGCACAGAGCAACGAAGTTCAACGTTTATCTAGTCTGTTGGGAGCGGAAAAAAACCTTCTCGATGCGGCAAAGGACAGCACCTCCGGGGAGGGTATCCACTTTCCGTGTCTGCGACAAGTGGCTTTAATTTAACCACTTAGCTGCCACTTGCGCCGCAGGTATCGGCGAACGTTCGCCGGAATTCCTGTCGAAGGCGTACTGGAACGGACTCTGGAATGTAGGAAATTCGCGGTGCGGAGATCCCAGGCGACGGCCATCGTCCCGACTCGCTCCTCCGCCGAGGCATGGAAAGAAAGGAAACGTCACCGCGTTGTTATCTCGCGACGGTGGCAGAAGTAATATCGTACGTGCTTACAGGAACACCGTGTCGAGGGTGTAACGTCGACTGGCGTCTTATCGATATCGTAGAGGCGAGGGGTGCTTCTCGACCAGCGCCAATCCGCGAGAAATCGTGAAAGGAAACATCCCTGGAAGATTTTCGCAGGAACGTTTTTACGGAAAAGCCGCGATAGGGGAATATTGCGTTGCTGCTAAACGCTTCTCCAGCCGTTATTTTAGACAAATGGTTCTCGAGAGCGGGGACAAGCGTTTGGAATATTAAGTTATCGAAGTACAAACAAAGTTAGACGTCGGGGTCATGCTAACTTTTGAAGAAAGGTAGCATTGCTTGCGCTCGTAGACGTTTCATAAAACATCAAAACTGTCCCAGTTTTTCCGCGGTCTACGATATCTCCTTAAGGTAACTCGCGGAGTAAAGGACCAGTTAAAATAGTTCCACGTTGAATAAGAAGATCGAAGCGAGCCAAGTTAGAAAGAACCAAACGTGCGGCCGGCAGACGACCGCGAAAGCCCGGTAATTAATACGTTCGACGCGACTCCGAGCAATTTACGTTCCGCGGAGATAATCCTTATTATCCCGGAATTTCTTCTCGGCGCGGTGATGAGAGGTTACATTAACGACGGTGGAATCCGCGTCTCGATGTAAGTAGCATAACAATCGCGATACGTAACGCTTGTACGCGCACGGGCCAGCGGTGAACGTAACGACACATCAGGCATCCAAACGTTTCCTGTTTGGTCTGAGCGAGCACGGCTAGCAGGCGAACATACCTCGAGGGTTCTCGATTCTCCGGCTGTGGAATTTATCTGGATACCTGTTGAACACGCAAGATGGATCGCTACGCGCTTTCCCGACTTTCGCCCGGTTTCTCAGTTAATTATCGCGCTCGCGCGCCTCGCGTCCTCATTGTTAACCGATCTCGATGGGCGCGTTTCGTCGCTCGCGAAATTGCCAACGGCATTCGCGATTAACACACACGCCGAACTTGGCGAGAAGTTCATCGATCCGTAACTCTCTTTCGCGATGCGACGTCGAGTCATCCCAGGCATCTTCCTAGCTGGCCACCTCTTTACGCAGAACGTAGGATGTTTCACCGACAAAGCGCACAGAGTATGCTGTAATCCTTCCCGATTCAACTTCCGGGGTTGATGGAATCGTATTAAACTCTGGGAGCAAAAATAACCACGGGAGTTAAAACGTTCTTCGTGCTGGAGATTGAAGTTGAACTGGAGCTTCGAAAGTAATCGTTCTAGATGTACTGGACAGAGCAGAAGAGGGCTATTACGCCGAGTATCGGGCCTTCCTGGTGGAAGGGAAATAGCTAGTGTTTGCTTCTAGTACTGATCAAGGTTAGTTGTGGGACGAGAGCCTACGAAGCCAACCGATCCTTTGAGAATACTTTATAAAACGCTATACTCCTAAAAAAAAAGCCGACGAAATCCACTCGAATCCACAAATACTCGCCCTCCTTCATAAATAGGAGCGAGTCGTTCAACTGGGGCACGACGTAGTTACTTTATTGCACAAATGCGAGGAACAGTAATAGAAAGTCGAACGAGAAGACTCGCAGGACCCAATGACGTAGGCGGTCCACGTTCGACCTTTTAATGGGGACAGCAATATTTTGGGTAGGGTCGAAGAGAACGGTAGCTCTTCGTCCCAGCACGAGTTCGCTGCTCTTCCAGTTCGCGTGTTCACCTGGCGGCCACGTATTACGTCAGTACGTGGCGTTCGGGCCGCAGGTCGTGAACCCCGCGTGAGATGACAGAAATAACCGACCTGACTCTCTTAGCACCGCGAGACTAACTCGAGAGATGTACCCGTGATACTATCTTTACTCTTTTTCCCCCCCACTGGTTGACGGGCCGACGAATGCGTTAAGTTCCATTCACACGAACCGGCCGTAGGAAAGAAAAAAAACGAGAAACAAGAGGACGAATACTGGTTTAAGATATCCCAAAGTAGCCCTCTGTTATCCCTGGTAAAGGAATCCTTCGTTTTATGAAAAATTACTAACGAAAGAAATCGTCGTGCGAATTAATGTTAATCTCGCGAAGACGCGGATAGTCCGTGTTTCCATGGCGCGAAGTTTCTCTTTCTCACGGTGAAGATTTCACCACCAAGACTAATATCAAAGGCATTAACGGAACCTTGAGAAAGATTAACACGATTCCGATGAATAGAAGATAGAATTGCCTCCTCGCATCCTGGCTGCCATCGATAGAAGCACCTCACATGCTGCCCTACCGCTTGGTAACCTTTCGTTATCTTTCCAATGGTTATACATTTGCTTTCCCGAGGTCTGTCTCATTTTCAGAACTATGTTAGATCGAAATTCAAGAAATGGCCCCCGTTTCCGGCCGATCTCGCAGTGGACGCGTTAAACAGCATCATTAGAGCACAGCTGGCGCGATGTCGGTCATTCGGCCGGTGTGAGCAACGCTTTTCGACGTTTATCTCGTCTATGTTTATGCCGTGTCGTCTTCTGGCGTCGAACCGGATTTATCCGGCGCTCCCGGTGCACCGGCTACTATACTCGCGACACCTTACTCGACTTGGCAAAGCGACTTTTCCGAAGGTAAATATAGCGGCCCGCTCGCGGTACACTCACGCCGTTCGGCAGCCGATGCCAGCCAACGCGAACGGACAACACCGATTCACCGATACGGAGGGGGATCTTTCTTTGGTCCATGGATGACGGAACCACGTGTGCTAGAAATTTCGATCGTCTCCGTCAATCAAACCTCTAAAACTCCGTTGGTACAAGAAAGACGAAAGTTTGTAATCTTTCAAAGCTAATCAAGTCCAATTACTCATTACTCGGCAATCATAATCTCGAATCAAACGTTGCCCTTCACCGCCAAACGTGCGTGCAAGGGTACAAAAGAGAGGCGGTAGCACAAGGTGGCATCTCGCTCGGTCATCGCTCTACATTATCCACGCCAGCGTGTTTAATTCGGCTTAAAATTGCCGCGTTAGGCCCCTTTCATACGTTCTTCTTGCGCGAGACTTCGTTGAAAAACCACCCCCTTACCTTATAGTCACGGACCCATACAAGAACGAGCGTACCTATCGTTCACCCGGATCACGCGACAATTGATTTTTATCGCCTCTTTCAGGCCTCTGCAAACTCTCCTGCAACAGAAATTCGACGCTATGTAGCAAGCCTTATGCTACAAAATCGATCCTCTTCGGTTGCAACAAAATTCTCGAGGAGACTCAGGATTAATTAGCAATTTCAGGCACCGGAACCTTCCAGCTCGAAGAACACGGACACTGACAGTGCTAAAAAATGACGGGTGTTGCGGCGAATCATTTTTCGGCACGTAACTTTGACATGTTCGCCCAGGGGTAGATCTACCGTCAAACTAATGAAGCCTCAGCTACGGGCTCTCGCCCAGAGGGGACTCCGGAGAGCTTTCTATTTCTCGTTTTTTGGTTCTACGTTCTCACAGTTGGATTCATCGGAGGTGGCCCTCTGTGCCGAATTAATTGAACAATCTATTTTTTAGTTACAATACCCACGAATATACGTAGAAATCAAATAAATGGATCGGTCTGTCCGCAAATATGAGCTGTTCACTGCACAAATCGATTTTTGAAAAATCTTAAACTTAACTGTCAAAGCATTTGGTATAGTCAACTTTTTATATTTATAATAACTTTCCTGAATAATAAAGATTAACACCATTAAACGACAAAATTTGTTTGGCCATTGAATAATATATAATTTATTTTAGAGGCCATTTTGAAATTACAAGAAACATAGTGTATGGTGAGCATCAAAATGAAAATTTCACGGATGTTTATTTTTTTAAACAGTTTAACGATATCGCAATAGTGATACGAATGACCAGAGATTGTTTCGTATGGGAAACAATGCGGTGGGAACGAAGGGGTTAACAGCGCCGTGATACAACGGATATGCGGATAAAACGTAGCTGGAAAGACTGTTTGCCTCCTCGCGTCCCAAAGAAGTCGAGAAATCAATGTTCCTTGTGTAAACGTAGCGAAAACGAGAGAATGATTTCCCGAAGGGTTCGAGGAGCCCTCGATCACCGATTCCCGCCGCGCGCAGCCACGAATCGCGAAACCAAACATTTTCGATAACTGCAGTGTTGCGAAACGATATTTAGAAGAACCCATCAATCGGTGCGTCGCAAATGAAGCGGATAGATCTCGTCGCAGCCGTCAATGTTTATTGAAAGGCTTAACGGTGGCTTCGCACTACTTTTCCACGTTTCATTATCATGGAAATGGCGACCATGGTGTTTCCGAGCGATAAGAATATTCACAGTGGCGCGTTAAATGTTCCAAGAAAAATTAAAGTTCCATTCGAACAATACAAAATTAATAGAACTAAATCACAACCACCGTTATGCAACTTTCGTGACGAGCCCCTTACCCTTAACAACAGAAACGAATTCCTAAAATTAATCACGATATTAATGAAATATAACATGTTAAATAAATTATAATGAAATTGTAATCATTGACGTGGTCACTAATAACCTTGTAGTCGTGTGACCTTAAATAAAATAATTAAAAAGAAAAAGAAAAATTAATGGAAAATATATTGTAAATATGTTATACGCAAGTAACCATGTAATCAGTGTATAAAAAGTCTTCATAGCACAGTGTCTAAACATTTGTTTCTTTCGACAAAGCCATATCTACCGACATTTTCTATGTGTCCAGGCTTGAGGGACAGTCTGTATTATAATTTTTCATCGTAATACCGAAAGATAAACTTCGCAATTATAAATTGAAGAAATACGCATCTTTCGTTTTGTACTTATAGCAGTAGAGCACTCTGGGGAAGAGTTATATTGCAGCTGCAAATGAAAAGGTCAGAGGGTACCTGCATTCGACAAGACATTAATTCGTAACAGTCTATTCTGAGAATCGACTTGTTATCTAGATAAACAAACCACCACGCGAGGAGGTCGAATAACATTTTCTCCTAATGCCACGGTACCTGTATCCTCCTCCGCTCCGTAAGATTACGTCAAAGTCAAAGAGGGATTCCTTCCCTTCGGAGGATGGTTCTACAGTCGACGTGCGTCATCCCTCTCGTATCTTCGCTCTGACCCGATCGATACCAAAGTTGGTCCGACCGAATGACGGATCGGCAAGGCGTCACGCGAAACTTCCGTGGCCAGAACGAAACGCGATGCTCGAAACGATAGGTCGTATCGATGGCTGGCAGCGGGCAGCGATCGTAGGCCTCCGCCCACGGAAAATCCGAGACGGGTAATTCGGTCCAATAATAATTTTCACGGGCGGATCTGTCGGTGTTTGGCGAACGGCCGCGTTGACGTACTCCCGTGGTCGTCACACAATGACTCGGTGACGAGCTATGCCGTCACAAATTACGTCGTCGTTGCGCACAGTGGTGAGTACTGGACGCAACGGAGCGCGCACATGCGGCGTAACCGCCGCCTATATTCGCCTACGAGCTTCTTATCGCACGCTCGTAAACATTTATAGAGCACGGCTCTTTACTTCTTTCATTTTTTTTTTTTTTTTTATGGTCAATTGTCTCATCGTCGCGCGAAAAAGCTACTAGTTGAACGTCGATCGACGCTAGCTTTTTTGGATCGTTTGGATGAACTCTCCCTCGAAGGTGTCGGTTTAGAAACAATGTTATACCTATAATTTGATATCTATAGGCCAGTGGAGACTGAAGTGCACATAACGTTACGAAGATATCCTTGTCGAACTTATTTTTAGCACACATCTTTATCGAGCATCGTACGAGTGACAGGACTAACCATATCGATGTCGCGTTATGCTATTTTCGTCAAGCGACGTCGAATCGTGTTTGTTCGTGTATTTACGTCGATGCGTCACTGCGAATGAGTCTGACTAGGAAATGCAGCGTTCATGGACCTAAGTCTACGATGAGTGATTCATAAACTGTGGGCGTTACTTCAACGATGCATTCGGTCTACGAAAACATTCAAGGCTCTGTTCATCCTTGCCTCCAAGCTACGATCTCTTCAAACGGAGACAATCATAAGCACGCTACTGAAATTCCATAAGCACGCTCTGATCAAAAGGAAATACACGTTTGGTTATTTACGCGCGACGAATCGTCAGAGAATTACGAGCCAGATAAAGGAAGAGGGCGGGAACCGGTGACGTTTGCAAATAGTTGCGAGTTCCGTGACGTACCAGCACTCGTCGAAATAATGCGAGTATTTAATTCACGATCATCGAGTCCCAACATCAGTTTCGCTGCTCTTTGACGCGATCACGGATATGATTTCTGGCACATCATCGTCGCAATTACTCTCGCGGCTTGATCTCGACTACGGATCGCTACGTCCTAGCAGTTTGTCACTTTGTCAGACTTTTTGAGCTTTCGCAGTGTGGACGTTGGGCTCTCGCCAGCTTTGCAGGCTGACTTCTGCTATAGTGATTGTGTTTTTCCGTGACTTTTTGTGCCTCTAAATTTGGGAATTTCGTGTAAATGTCTTGAGAACTTTCCAAGTAAAATGATGTTTTTCTTGTACAAAGGTAGAATTAAATTGCACGTGAATCGATTTCAATTTGAACTCTGGGACAATAATTACGTATATATATTTTTTTGTTTTATTATAAACTAAAGTATTTTGCACGAGGTCCCTGAACAATGTCTCGGAGAAAGCATTCTAACGTGATGTCGCATTTTCTGTGGAGGGCTAGAAGACTGATCCTGGTAAGTTGCGAACGTTATTGACATCTCTGAAAGGGGATTAAATTTTAAGGAGTTCTAGCGGAATAATTCGCTGGAGTCTTTGTAGAATTTTCGAGGAATCCGTCCGTTTGCTCGTTGCGCGAGCCAACTACGAAACGGACAATTGATTCTTCTTTATTGCCTTTTCTAGACATTCTCCTCGTTTGTTCGCGTTCCTTGGCATGACGTAGCGAAGAAACACAGATATATCTCTCTTTCGCTGCTGGCAATTGGCCCAGTTACTAATGTACATCCGCGAACGAATGACGCGTGTCTTTTCTTCGCGTGATGGTGGGCCAGTGACGCAACGCTCCCATATAACCGTAACATGTGAGACAAGGAGAAAGATTCATGCTGCGCAGTCTAAACAACTACATTCGTTAACAGCGCAAACTTTGCATTTATTAGGCCGCCACCCGTTTTTTTCGGGCGATAAAGTCTACGCCTAGATAAACTTATGATTTCTGATCCAGAAGAAAAGAGTACGAAAGATAATCTTTAACTTTTTGCACCGCCGAGAATTTTTTTAATACGAGCAATTAGCAACTCGGCATTCTCAATGGTACCAAAATCCTACGCTGCAGTTTCTGAAGATTATAAGTACTCCTGTCCAAATTGATGAATGCTTGTAATTCGAGATTCATTACATCGTTGATTCAGTTTGTGTTACCGTAAATAAAACCTGTACCGAGTTGTCTATTCCAGTAAAAATGTCAGTGAGTGCAAGGGATTGAAAGATGAAGATGATTTAGGGGTGCAATCGAAAGGTGTACGAATATATGAAAATTCAAGCTACATATTAGTATAATTTTGTTAAAATAAAATGTAGAAATGAACATTTATCGAACAAGGAAAATATATGGATATATAGTCGATGACCTACTTCGATATTCTACGAAAGAACCTCCCCAGAGTGTCCGAATACTATCAAATATAAAACGAAAAAATTTTTACATTTAAAAATGCTATCTTAATCAGCGCAAAATGTTGGAAAGAGACAATTTGCATTAATAAGCAGTACTGAAAAAACAAAACCATCATCCCTTGCGGGGATCGAACCCGCGACCTTTGGATTAGAAGTCCAACGCGCTATCCTCTGCGCCAAAGGGACTCCTGTAAACACCCTCGTGTATTTTTTTACATGATCCTGTAGCCTAATATTTCAACCACGGATCGAAATATAACCCAGAAGTCTGTTTAACTTTGAAGACATAAAGAAAATTTTCGTCGAAAGTTGCGATCTTTTCTGCTTCCTGTGCAAACATAATTCAATGCTATTCGCGTTTCTGGACACCGTGTCGAATATATTTCGTAAAAAAGAAACAAGCTGTTCCCGCTCTGAGGTTCTGGGGTAAATGTAGTGCTGTTTCTCGCAGTCCTCTTACCAAAAGCCAAAGGCATCTCCACTCCGTGG